ACGGAGATCGTGTGCATGTTGTCGAAAGGGATAGTTGAATGCCCGTTCACGGTCAGCGCCGCCGGCCAGACGTACAAGCAGACAGATCGGTTTGTGTACCTCGGACGTACCATCTCCGCGGACGGGAAGGCCGACCGGGAGATCACGAGCCGCAGCTGCCGAGCGTGGAAGTGCTACCGCCGGAACAGTGCTTCGATGTACGACAGGCGACGGGCCGACCGCCAGCTCAAGATCCGGCTTCTCCAGGCTGAAGTGGTGGAGACTCTCCTGTATGGGTGCGCCTCGTGGAGCCTAACAGTGGAGCACTACACGAAGCTCAATGGGACCCACCGCCAGTTCCTTACACGGTGCATCGGCTGGAGCAAGCGGCAACGCTCAGACCGCCCCCTGTCCTATGCCCAGGCCCTCATCCAGGCAGGCTGCGAGGAAACCATCGAGGCCACCGTGCGCAAACGGAGACTGTGTTTCGCGGGCTTTGTTATGCGCATGGAGGACAACCGCCTCCCCAAGCGCATGCTGTTAGGAGCGATGGCGGGGGGCGTGGGATACCGGGGCGGGCAGGAGAGCGACTGGGTGTCTCGTCTAGGAGAGGACCTCGTGGCCTTCAACATGGGAGACGAAAAGGAAGGGGACAAATGGAAAGAGAGCGCCAAGGACCCGGAGGTGTGGTACAACAAGGTCGAGGACGGGGCGGCATTGTTCGTGAGGAAATGGCACAGGCAGGAGGCGGAAGCGCCCGCGAAGCGCCAGCGCGCGAGGGAAGTAGAAGCAGAGAGTACGACCATCTCAGGACCGAAGTGAAAGAGAGCCGGGGAAGCGGCGGTGGGGGGAAAGAAACGGCGACCGGGCACTACTGTAGAAGCGAGTAGGGCGGCCGAGGCAGCACTTGTGGCGAACTATGTACCCGGCTGATGTTGTTGCGCCCTGTTTCCCTCCGTGCTGTATGCTATACTCCTTTATGTTTGTCCTTTGTATTGCCTTCGGCCTATGTGCTGTGTTTCTTTTTTTCATGACCTCCCTGCCTACTCTGCTGTGTTGGGTACTTTGAGCTCGCTTTGCTGTTGCCTTTGTTTTTGTACGTCTGGCTGTCTGCCCATCTGCCGCCTCTTTGTCCTGTTTGCTCCG